GGGTGGGAATTACCCTCTCCTCCATCGTCCCACGCCGCTGGGCGCCGCTTCAGCTTGGCTGTGCTCCCCAGGGCCGTGAGGAGCAGGAGGGGGAGCAGCAGCCGGGCCATGGCTGGGCTGTATCCCCGCAGCGTGTCCCAAGGGATGTCCCCGAAGGGCTGTCGTGGGCTCCCCAAGGGCCGAGCTGGCCATCGTGGCCACCCCCCTGCTCCATGCCTGCCTCCTGCTTCCCCGCTCCGCTGCTCGGGCTGTGGCTCCCCGGGCTCTGGCTCCACGCAGCTCCCGCTCCCCTGTTCGCAGGCTGCGTGCTGGCGCCAGGGGCCCGGCCGCTCCACGCTCCAGGGCTGATTGCAAACAGACCCGGACACGGCCCGGACACGGCCTGGACACACGAGTCCTGCCGGGAATGCCGAGCAGTGATGGGGTGCAGGTGGCACAGCACTGGGGAGCAGGGCCCCCACCAGTTCCTGCTGGGAACGGGAACTATCCCAGCCCTATGAGTGCTGTGTCGCCTGTGCCAGTTGGGAACATGGAGCATCCATGGAGCTCCATGCCAGCAGAGGTGACGGAGTGCAGATGACACGGTGCTGGGGCACAGTGTCCCCCCATTCCCAGCGGGAACAAGGAACATCCCAGCCCCATCCCAGCTCATGGGAGGGAGCGCAGAGGCACTGGGGTGCGGCATCCCCTCCTTTCCTGTTGGGAATGTGGAGCATCCTGGGACAGGTGACAGAGAGCAGGAGGCTCTGGTTTGAGGTGCTTTTATTCCATGTTACTCGCAGCCCCCCTGCCTGGGCGCCCCCCAGCACTGCACCCCCAAACCCCAGCACACCCAGGGAAAAGCAACCGCAGCCCAGAGCCGGGCCTTGGGATGAAGCCTTCAGAGAACCCCAGTGAGGGGCGGGGGGGCCCAGAGGGTCCCTGCCCTGCTGGACACCAGGACACCCTGTCCTGGAGCAGGATGGGGCCTTCAGCCCCCCTCCCATGATGGGACACAATCCCAGTGCCCCTGGGACTGAACCAGAGTTGCAGAGACAGGACAGGGAGGCTCCAGGACAGGTACCTCCATCATCCACCTCTGCCCGGGGCAGCTCCAGCCAGGGGCTAAAGGGAGGGTGGGGGCAAGAGCCCCAAGTCCCAGCTCCGGCCAGGACACGCTCCGGAGGGACGAGGGCATGGGGGAAGGAAGGCACCAGCTCCCGGGACACACCAGAGGTGAGGTGGGTGCCCAGGTTACGTGGCTGTCCTGTGACCCCTTCCTCGGGAGCCCACTCAGGCTCTGCGGGGTGACACAGCACCCGGTGGGGACACCCCTCCTGCAGTCCCCACAGGGTGCCAAGCTGAGAGCCCGCCCTGTGCCCTGTGCCCGAGAATTATGTCCCGTCCTGCTCCGGGAACATCAAAGCCACCTGCCCACCCCGCCGGGGCCAGTCGGTGCCGGAGCTGTTGGGATCCGGGCACCCACACGGGCAGGGAACGGGAGCAAAGCTGCAGGCAGGGAGATGCCAAAGCCTCCCCATCTCCTCAGGAGGGAAGTGGGCACGGACACCGCCTGAGCCCCCTGGGTCCCCCTGGCAGGCTGGCAGCAGTGGGGATGGGGGGGCAGCCCGGGGCACGGGCTGAGGGGAAGCGTCAGTTCTCCGGGCTGGGAGCACCAAGCGGCTCCGGGATGGCCCCCGAAAGGGAGCGAGGAGTAACTGGGGGGCTGGAGCCACCCCGTGCCCGGCTCCGCAGCCGGAGCTGGAAGCTGAAGGGAGGAAGGGGAGGGACAAGCGCCGCGCCGGCTGCTCCGGGGAGGCTCGGGGCGGGAGCGGGGCTAGGAACGGGGCAGGCTGCACATCTCGCAGTGGTCCGTGCCCGGCTGATTCATGAAGGTGCAGTGCTGGCAGGGCCACATGGCTGCGGCCACGGCGTGCGACGAGCCCCCCATGGCGCCGTATTCCTGCATTCCCGAGAGCGGGACACCCACCGTGCCTGCGGAGAGACCCGGAGGGAGCGCTGCGATCCCTGCACAGCCCACCCCGCAGCCCCTCCGGTCCCAACCCTGGGAGTGTTCCAGGGGTCCTGGAGCAATTTGGTCTAGGGGAAGGTGTCTCTGCCCATGGCAGGGGGTGGGATGAGATGAGCTTTAAGGTTCCTTCCCACCCAAACCATTCCACGATTCCATGACCTAGCAACAGGTTTCCTCCCCCTGGAGCCTCCAGCAGCCTCTTTAGGGGCTTGGGAACAGCACCACACACAGCCCCCAGCCAGCTCTGCCAAGGGACAAGGGACCCCCCGCCCCAGGAACCCCCCTCTTACTGCAGAGCTGCTCGATGGTCGCCCACTGCTCAGATTTTTTCCAGGTCTGTGCAAGCTCCTCATTTTTGGTCCTCACGGCTTCCAGCAACAAGCTGATGCTGTCCTGGAAGCCACAGGAGGGAAATGAGCACTGTGACCCCTCCAGTGTCCCACTGGAAGCTGTGACCAGGGATGTGCCCTCCTCCCCTAGCACGGCAAGGCAGGACCCTGAGCCTGAGCTGTTTCCCCTTTCCTGAGATCCTTGGAGTGTCCCAGTTTATCCCTCTGCTCCCCTCAACAGTCACACAGACCCCACATCCCAGAAGATTCCGTTCCTCTGCTTCCAGGATGTATGACCTACTGCTTTGGGATAGTGTGCCAGTGCTGCGCAGCAATCCTGACTTCCAGAGGAGCAAATCCTCCACGCTGGAGCACTCCAGCCCCCATCCCCATCCCCATCCTGATCTCCAGCTGCCCAGGGTCATCCTGGCTGCCTCACACATGCGCAGCCTCCGGCCAACACGGCCCAGCTGGATCCCACCGGGAAGCTCCGGCGGTGCCGGGGCAGCCGCCAGGCCCGCAGTGCCCGGCCAAGGGCAGCAGAGTTGCACTGCCAGGACACTCCTGGCCCCACCAAGGTCTGGGGGCTCTGCTCTTGTTCCCACAGAATTCCTCATTCTGAGATAATTTTTAAAACGTTTCCAGCTCTGGGAGCCGCAGCCAAGTTGGCTCTGGAATCATGTGGACAAACACCCCCCCCCTCAGTGCTCCCAACAGCTCGGGGGTTTTAAAAGGGTTTTAAAACTTTTTTAACCTTCTCCCAACAGCTCAGTCGGGAAAAGACAGCAATGGGACCCGCCCAGGGACACAGGATGGCAGGAATGGTCACCCCCACCCACCTGAGGGACCTGGGATGGGGAGGATGGATAGGGACAGGACTCTCCCCACCCCACTACGTACCCGCAGAGGCATGACCTCATTTGTGACCAGGAAGAGGAGCAGATGGAAATCAGAAATGATGTCTAGGAAAATGGAGGATGTGTTTTGGGACAGGTACGTGGCCAAGCTGTGGAAGTCCTGGAGAGAGGGGACAGTAATGAAGAGAAGTCACTTCCTATTTTGATGCGCTACCACACATTTCTGGCACCTCTGGGCATTGGCTGCAATGTGCAGGGATGATCCCAAAATCAGATCCCAGGCTGGCTGATTGAATTCCAGCTCACAACTTCCAGGGAAAAGGATCTCTGCACCCACACCAGCTTTTCCTGACCAACTCCAGTGCACACAGAGCCAAGAAGTGCTCAGTGGGGCCAGGAAACTCCAGCCCTGTCCCTATGGAAAAGGGGCAGAGGGGGATGGAGCAGCCCTTTCCTCCCCATCCTCTGCCCTGGCCTCTTGCAGGAACAGTGCCCTGTGCTTTAAAATTCCAACCAGGAAGAGAAGGCAGTGCTCTGGGAGCAGAACAGACCCCAGACCCTCTCCTGTCTGTGGGGAGAAGCAGGTTCATGGTGTCTCTGTGGGGCTGGAGCCCCTCGGCCCCTCTGGTGCTGCCTGGGGGGCACAGGGAGCCCTGATCCCGTCACGGAGCCGTCGGGAACACGGCTGGCAATCAGCATTGGCATGCAGACACTGCTCTGTGCAGGAAGGAGTTTGGCAGCTGCACTGGGAAGGGGTGACTTGAGGGCACAGCTGTCCCTCTGCAGCTGTCAGTGAGCACAAGGGAAGCAGCGCCAATCCCTACGGAAGTGGCTCCATCAGGAATCAATCCTCACCTGAGTTTCTCCCAGCACATCACGGTTCTCGATGGGGAATGGATTTTGAGAAATAGAAAAAGTGTAGACTGGATCCTTGGGGAAAGTTGTAGTAATCTAAAGAAAAAAAAAAATCCAAGGAATGATGATCAGAGGCCAGTGGGATATGGGAAGCAAGGCTTGGGATAGCCAAGAGCAGCCATGGCTATGATCCCAGCTCAGCCAAACAGTGAGGGATCCTGCAGGGATCTGATGGCTTTTAATTCAATTTAAAGTGATATCCCATCATCCCCTTGGCTCCCAAGCAGCCTTGTTTCTAAGGAAGCTGGAGGGACATAGATGGAGCTTGGTCCTGACAGATGCCATGGAGACCATCCCTCTCTGCACAGGTTACCAGGATACAGCGATCCTGGCACAGCTGTGCTAGGGGGGGATCCTGGGGGCATCCTAATACACATTCTATCCCTCTGTTTTCATCCCAGTGACAGCCCAGGTATCCCAGGAGCAGGTGCCTTCACTACTGCAGGAATCCCTGCGCTCCATCACTGCCTGTGCCAGGGGCAGCTGGAGCAGAGCAGTTGCTCCGGGTGGATTTAATCGTTGTTGGCACCACCTCCAGCTCCAGCAATATCATCTGTCATCCCAATTATTTGCTTTCCTGCCTTCCATGCCGTTAAGTTTGCTTCCCAGCCCCAGGGCTGAGCCGTGCCGTGCCTGGCAGCAGCTCTGCTCTGGCCAAACTGTGCCAGAGAGTGAATTCCCCCTTCCAAGAAAAGGCATTTCTGGTCAACCTGCTGAGTCACTTGAAGGAGACGGATCCCTAATTGCTGCTCTAAGACAGGCAGCTGGAGTTCCTTCCTTAGGCAGTGCCCAGCACACGGATCCATGGGCAGCTGCTCCCCGGCCGTGTGGCTCCGTGCCAGGGCGGAGCCGTGATAAGGCACCAGGCAGTGCCTTCCTGGGAAGCAAGAGTGTTCCCTGGCACCACACCGGCCCCTCGGAGCAGGGCAGCCACCTCCCTGCTGGGAATGCCTGGCAGCAGTGGAAAGAGGAGGATGGCGTGTCTCAGGAACCACCTGCAGTGGGAATTTTAGAGATGGGTGAAGGGTTTGCTGTGCCCTGACCATCTCCCGTGGGAAGCAAACACTATGGAATACTCACGTCTATGATGAGGTACTCGACCGGCAGCGGGCGAGCCAGCTGGGTGATCTCGTTCCCAAACTTGTCTATGTCCTGAAAGAGGAAGAGTCGGATTATTCCTGAGCATGGAAGTGGTGTGAAGCCCAAGGGATCGTGCCCTGGAAATGCCCACCCAGGATCCTGAGCTCTGGCAGATCACTGAGGGTGGAAAAGAACCCAGCTGGGTGGTGCAGGGCTGCCCAATTCCCTGCAGCTCTCTGGGGCTGGAGATCTCTGTAATTCCAGGATCTCTGGAATCAGGAAACGGGATCACTGTTTCCTCGTGAGCCAAGGGAGTGTGTGGTCACAAACCACCTTGGGCTTGTCTCCCACTGGATATGGACCTGGAATTATCTAAGGAGTGTAAATCAAGGTGTGATTCTTGGGGTTGTTGGACTTGATGATCCTTATGGGCCCTTCCAACTCCAGATATCCTATAATTCCACGATTCTAAATGCCATTTAAGCAGCTCTTCTGTCTAAAAAAGGAGGGACAGGCCACATCTGTCTCCTTAGCTGAGGCAAACCTGCCTTTCTGCAAATCCAGGAGTCCCTCATCCAACTCTTCACCTGGGAATTGGGAATCCAGGCACCTTCTCATGCCCAGACCCTTAGAACCAAGCACATCCCACGGCGTAAACTTGTTTTGCTTTGCCAGACGAAGGGAACATAAAGTTTAATTAGGGAGACAAACGGCCAGCATATGTTCATTAATCATAACCTGACAATTAGACGTGATTGATGTCAAACACGCCGAGTTCAAACGGCGCTTCGGAAATAAATCCCAGAGAACTGACACTTTTCATTAAAGATTCCGTACGAGGGGGTTGTGTTTTCTACCTAAATCATCACTTAACGTGGTATAAATCATTCATTGAGCCCCACATAAATCATATGCCCATAATTCCCAGTCAGGGACTCTGTATTGGAGTTTCCATGGACTCAGTGGCTGAAGCCAGACCAGAGGTGTCATCCCAGAAGGTTGTGAGTCCCATTCCTCCAGCGGATCTCCCGTGGGATGGGAGCAGCACTCCTTGGGCTGAGCCAGGGAGCACCATGCAGGGACAAGCTGCTGACTCCCTCCTTTCTCCCTCCCCTTTCCCCCAGCCGTCTTCTCCCGGAGAACACCACTCCCCCACTCTCCCTGGTGTTTACACAGCACAACTATGCGGAGCAGCAGCCAGCACCATCCCGCTCTCCCAGTACTCCCAGTCAGACCTCGCCCCAGCAGGCTCCAGCACGCTGCTCCCCTCCAGGCACAGCCCCGCTTCCCGACCCCCTCCCCAAGCACCTCCTGTCCCCAGGAACTGTTCCCTCTGTAAAAAAAAAAATCTCCCTTTCAGTCTTTGAAGCTCCTTTGAAAAGCAGTTCTGATAAGGATCTTTGCTCCTCACACATGACAGGTTGTTGGGAGCTCCTGGCCTCAGATCTCTCTTGCTCTGACAGGAGCAGGAGGAGCTGTGGAGCCTTTTTTTGGGAGATCACAGGACCCCAGAGCCAACCTGCTCCTAGATCTCAGTGATACCACAAGAGGCAGGAATCAGATCCAATCAGCTTCCCAAACACAATCCTGCCCCTGCAAGAAGGGACCTGCAACAACTCACGCATAATTAGCCCATCTGGAATTCATTTTCCAATCTAATTAAGTTCTAATATGCAGAAACATTTTTCCAGCACCTGTTGGCTTTAATCTCCCCCTCTGGGGATTTCCATGTTAAATGCCTGCTTTTTCATGGCATGCTGCTGAGGCCTCCAAGACATCCACAGACTGGGACCTCGCTCCCCCTGAGCCGAGGACGTGTCCCAGTCCTGACAGAACAGCCCCCCCCGAACACTGACATTCCTCTCCCACCCCCATGGATCCTTTAACTATGTTTTAAAGGCCTTAATGAACATCAAGGTGGGAGAAAGATCCTTACCCTGAACTTGGCATCACCAGGACCCCACCAGTGCCCTATTATTGCTGCAGCCTGAGCCCCCAAAGCCCAGTGGCACTCGTTCCAAAGGGAGCCAAGGAAGGGGTTAACAGAGCCACAGCTATTTGGCTCCTGGACAAAAATCCATCAGCAAGGTCTGGACAATGAGTTATCCTGGTGGAGATTGCATCAGGGCTAGGATTAGAGCCTTCCAAACCACTGTTTGGAGGCAGAAGCTGCACAGGGATGGGGAAGAACAGGGAAAAGGGTGGGAGCACAGCTGGTGTCACACACCTTGGTGGGATAGAAAGGCTTCTGGGTGGTCTCGGGATTATCCACAGAAGGTGAGGGGAGCAGCCAAGTGAGGAGCCTGGGCGGGTGTCAGCCAGGAGGGAGGCTCCGGATCCGTGTCCCAGGGCTCGACAGCCGTGAGCATCCCACGCCGTCAGCATCCCAGGCTGTGAGCATCCCACATCCCACGCCGCCATTCCCGACCTGCTCCCTCGCTGAAGGCACCGTGGAGCTCAGCAGCTGCCTGTCCTTCCCGTGTGGGAGTAAATCCCAGCCTTGCTCTTCCCTCTGCCACTTCCCAGCACTTTGCCGGGCGATCCTGCCCCTCGCACGGAGAGCGCGGCTGAGGCACAAAGCGACTTCTCCAAGAGCAAGTGACAGGTCAGGGAGAGTTGAAACCCTTCCCAAGAGACTCCTGGTGAGCTAATCCAGCATCCTCCTCCCCGGAGCAGCCAGGACATTTAAGGCTAAGGCGGCTCGTGGTGGGAGGGCAGCCAGGGAAGTCCTTCCCCATTAGTGAACACTCCCTGCAGCCTGGCTCTCCCTGGGAAGAGGATTTCCAGTGCCATGGAAGGACAGCCTGGCTCAGAGGTCCCGCTGGGCTCTAATAAAAGCAGGGTCCTGGCTTGGGGTTGTCCCAGGGCGGAATGGGACACGTGTCACTGGTGCCAGGCCAGGGCTCAGAGCACGTGTGGGACTTGAGGGCAAAGGGCTCTTGCACAATACTTGTAAAGGGCTTTTGTCTTACAGCATCCCAAAGAAACTCTGGGGGGATATTAAACCATCCCAAAGAAACTCTGGGGGAATATTAAACCATCCCAAAGAAACTCTGTAGGATGTTAAGGCAGCTGTAAAATGCAACTCACTGCGAGGATGACGATGACATCGTCATGTTTGAGCTGCCACAAATACCAGTGATAAGAGACAAAGACAGTCAGCCCCCAAATCCAATCATCCAAGGGTTTTAAAGGGTCTGTAAAACACAGGAATCTCTTTCCCCAGTGGTGGAGCAGTTCAGCAATGCCAGAATTCCTGGGCCAGAGGACTGGGAGGAGGGGACAGCAGGGACAACAGGGTGCAGGCAGGGAGGGATCCCTCCAGCTGGGGCACAGCGCTGAATAATCAACCCAAGGTACATTCTTAGGGAACTCCAAATCAATCCAGCTGTTTTCCAGAACCAGATGGACAGAGGAGGCTGCTCGAGGGCAGCAGACAGGACAGAAAACACTTGTGTGGAACATTCAGACGGGCTCGCCCTCATCCAGCTGAGAAACTGGGTGAAGTGGCCATTGCAACATCATCATCTTCACTCACAGAGTCTTCACCCGGACCCGTGTCTGTGTCTTGACACCATGGAGTCCTTCACGAGTTCCGTGTGTTGAGCTCTCCAAGCAGCACGTGCCGGCCATGAAACGTTCCAGCTGGAAACGCTGCACTGAGATGCTTCCCAGGCACCCTGGGAGGCTGGGGGGGGGATGTGTCCTTCCTCCTGGCTAACTTCACCTGGGGAAGCACTTCAGAGCATAGTAACTTGTACTCACAGTCCCCAAAACCCTCAACTCCCACGCTGGGGCAGAGCTCTCGCATTCCCAGGCCAGGAGAGCAACGGCCGCGTGTCCAAAGCCAATTCCACGGGGGTGGCTCCTCGGAGCAGCAGGCGAGGGGCCAAGGCAAAGAGAATGGTAAAGAAATACAGAAACCACACAGCTGGAGGCTCAGGAAAACTGCAGGACAATGCCAGTGCCATCAGCTTTCCCATTTCCACGGAAGAAAAGCAGCACCTTTTCCCATTTGGAAGCCGGAGGTGAATCCACTGGCCCTGCTGTGGATCCAAGTTCCCTGGATCCTGCCTCACATCTGGCTGTTCTATAAATACATCCACACTCACAAATATCGGCCTCCTGGTCCTTGTTCAATTAGAATTAAGTTGTAGAGCTCCTTTCATCCTAAAGGGCTTTTCAGATGGATATTGTATGGGAATACACATGGACTTTTCCCTGGACCAGTGATGGCTGCGCAGTCAAGGGAAAACAACTACTCCAAAGTGCAGCTTTCTCCCCAAAACTGGCTGGGGGGTGGGCAGAGGGGAACCATCACAGACCAGGACAAAGAGGGAGCAGGGCACTGGACCCCAAAGATTCCATCCTGTGCTGCCAGATTCTTCCTCCTCCTGGAGTTTACTCAGGCTTGGACAGGGCTGTTGTCACCAGCCCAAGACAGATGAGGTCGTCTGACCCCAAACCTTGCCCATTTAATGGGACCCCAAAGGTTTCCCAAGCCAGGAGTGACTAAGCTTTACATAGATTTAAGAACATTAGGAAAAAATCAAGGGGTCCTAGAGCCAAACCCGTTTAAGGCTGAGGGATAATCCCACCTGGCAGAGCCATCCTTGAGCACTCCGTGAAAAGGGCAACTGGGGAGAGAAGTTCTAAAACCCGAAATCAGCTGCAGCCTGATCTGGTGAATCAGTGGTTCATGGAAATTTCCACGGAAGGCTGGAGCCATCCGTTCCCATTCTGTTTATCTCCCTGCTTCAGATTACGAGGGGAGTGAAGCCCTGCTGGGAACACCCACCAGCTTCCTGCTGCTCCCAGCACCCCGGGTGGCCCACATGTGGGACACAGACCTGTGGGACCTCCTGCAATGCACCCGAGTGTGGCACAGCCCGGGCTCCTCCGGAGCGGGATCAGGGCACGCCAGGAGATGATCTCATCTCCCTCACGTTCGGGGCCAACCTTTGCACACCCCAGCGCTGCTGGATCTTAATTGGCCCTGGTTTATCAGCTCCGAGAAGGAAGAGAGGCAGGGATTCCATCTACCCTCCCTCTCCAGCACTGGATTGATCCCAGAGGTGTTCCTTGTTTCCAAGTGGGGCCAAGCCAAGCTGGCACTTCAGTGTTAAGGGGTGGACGATGGGGTCTCTCAGGGAAATCAGCACTTCCCAGTCCCAGTTTCAGGACACGCAGGAACAGCCTGACCAGCTCCATTCCTGTTGCTGGTGCACAATCCACTCATTCCAGTCATCCCAAACGAAGGCAGCTTTCCTTATCCTGTGCTCCTTAAGGGACAGCTTTAACACAGGCAGCAGGAGCAGGCACGACAAGGAGGAGATAACTAATGGGTGATGGATGGCTAATTAGCTGGCGAGCAGTGCCATTAATTAATTCCTCTGTCCCTGCTCACGGGGCACCAGCAGCCCCGTGCTGGAGCAGCAGCACTATCGGCATCCGCAGGGAGCCTGATCCCGAGCTCCTGACTCGGCCCTGCAGGAACACGGGGGGCTGAGGGGCTCCAGAAACAAGTGCCAAGGGAATAACAACATTCCATCCATCACCAACAGACCCAAAGGGCGGCAGGCAGGGACCAGCAGTGACACTCCAAATAGTCCTGGGACCCCCCTCCAGCTCCAGAGTCCTCAACACGGGAAGGACATGGAGCTGCTGGAGCGAGTCCAGAGGAGGTCACGGAGATGCTCCGAGGGCTGGAGCCCCTCTGCTCTGGAGCCAGGCTGGGAGAGCTGGGGGTGTTCATCTGGAGAAGAGAAGGCTCCAGGGAGACCTTAGAGCCCCTTCCAGTCCCTAAAGGGGCTCCAGGAGAGCTGGAGAGGGACTTTGGAGTGACAGGACAAGGGGGAATGGCTTCCCACTGCCAGAGGACGGGTTTAGGTGGGAGATTGGGAAGGAATTCTTGGCTATGAGGGTGGGGAGGCCATGGCACAGGTTGCCCAGAGAAGTTGTGGCTGCTCCATCCCTGGAAGTGTCCAAGGCCAGGTTGGAGCAACCTGGGATAGTGGGAGGTGTCCCTGCCCACGGCAGGGGGTGGAACAAGATGAGCTTTAATGTCCCTTCCAACCCAAACCATTCCATGATCCTATGAAGTGAGAGCATTTCGGACCCGCTTCAGTTGTGCACATGTTCCCTGCTGCTCCTCAGGACCAGAGTGTGGATCCAGGGGCACACCCCAGTGCTGCCCAGGCCCTCACCCTTACCTTGTAGAACACATCAGGCACGTACTGCTCGCTGCTGGACTCCTTGGCATAGCCCAGCTCCGGCGCGTCCCGGCAGGGCAGGAGGCACTCGTCCCGCACCAGGGCCATGCACTGGTTCGACACCTGGTACCCCTCGAAGTGCACCTGGTTGTCAGGACCACCTGGAAAAGGAGAGAGTGGTCAAAAATCCCAGGATCACTGAGGCTGGAAAAGAGCTCCAAGACCATTGAGTCTGACTGTGCCCGATTCCCACCTTGTCACCCAGCCCAGAGCACTGAGTGCCACGGCCAGTCATTCCCTGAACACCTCCAGGGATGGGGACTCCATGGTACAACCCTTTTCATGGAGAAATTCTTCCTGAAAATCCTGCACAGGGGTGATTTCCCCAGGGTAACTCCGAGCACAGCATTAAAGTTGGACTCGATGAGTTTGGAGCTCTTTTCCAGCCTTAATTCCAAGACTCCATGAATTAGACTCGAGGGTCTTGCTAACCATGAGAAACACTGAGATGAAGCTGCTGATGCTGCTGCACAGGAAGAACTTTAGGCAAGAATTCCCTCTAATCTCCACATTTCTTCAGTCACACACAGTTCCAGAGCTATCCCAAGAGCACAGACCCAGGGGACAGCAGGAATGCTCTGCCAGGAGCTCCAAGGAGGAGAAGCTGCCCTTTTGGAGGCTCTGACAGCATCACCCTCCCACTACCCTGCAGGTGTCTCCTCCTTTTCCAAACAAAACCCAGGCACAGCGTTCCCAAGGAACCCTGAGCTGCAGATCCCCTGGTCATGTCAGGCCTAAACAGTGTTTTCTCAGCCTGTCCTGGATGCTTTGGTGGAAATCTGACATGGAAAGTGGGAATTAAGAGCCTGGCTCGCGGAGGGATCACATGCTTGGCGCTTTCCTTTGGATAATGTAAGCAACATCAGGTCATGTGTCACTGGAATACAACTGGAAAGAGAGGATAGAGGCAGATGGTAGGAAAACATTACTATTTCCAAAGCTAGGAATTCAGGAGGGGATAGGAATTAATCCATGGAGAGGATTTAAAGGCAAAGTTGAGGCAAACTATCCAAATACATTTCTGTGGCACAAAAGGAAGGACTCAAGTGTTTAAATAGAAACCTGCTGGGCTGATTGAACAGAGGAGAATGAAATTAGCTGGAACAGCAAAGAGGAAATATTCCTTTTCTACCCTTTGATCTGTAACCTCAATCACTCACTGCTCCAGAACAAACACTCCTAGAAATTAAACATAGACCAGGACGGGGGGAAGGCCTGAACAAAGTGTGTTTGCTCAGTAAAACACCTTGTTTAAAAAAAAAAACCCTGAAATAAATATATATATAAAAAAAGAGAGATACAGATCTATCTTTAATGAGAGATGGATGTGTTTAGCAGTCTGGAATGTACAGGAATGGGCCTGTTGACTGAAAAAGAGCTTTTTCACTGAAAAAAAGGCCCCGGGAAGCCTTACAAAGCCAGGCTCAGGGCAGGCAACATCCCATCCCACTTTCACTTTTCACACTGGATGTTATTTGGAAGTCATGAGGGTTTTTCATTGTGTTAAACAGACTCAGAACTCAGCGATTCTGCTCCAGGGAAGGTTTAAATGAAGACATGTGTCATCCCATGGAGAAGAGCAGAGTGAACTGGGAACACTCCAGCCCTCCTACCACATGCCAGTGTCCCCCCTCCCAGCCCAGCCCATCCACAGTGCCTCTGGAGACTCCCCAAAAATGGCTAAATCCAGAGGTTTTAAGCATAAGCACTTTGCAGGCGCTTCTGTTTTATTCAGCCAAAAAAGTATGTTTTCAAATCCCACATCAGGGTTTCCCTGACAGCAACACAAGGGAGATAAAGGTCCCTCCTGAACTTCCTGAAGGAGGAATTAATCCACAACTTTAAGGATCTGGATTGTTATGGTTCTCCACTGCTGCTTCCAGGCAACAGAACGTGGAGCTTAAAGATTTGAAACAGAGAAGTGAGACCCAGTTATTGCCCTGGCTGCAGGCAGAGAGGGATTTCTGGATCAGAGAGGTGAGTCTGAGTCTCATATGAGCTTCTTTAGACAGTTGTAAAGTAAAAAAAATAGGTAAATAAATAATGAGTAATAATTGCAGAGAGGATAGAACAAAGAATGAAAAAGTATTTTAGCTGATAGAGTAAAACCCTTGTTAAACAGGACAGATGGGGATCAGGGCGTGTGATTTTTGGCATATTCTTCTACTAACAAGAGGTAACTCAGGTGTAACCCAGAGAGCTGGGGCCAGTTTATACCTGTAGCCACAACCGTGACAAACTTGGATCCAAAGTGCCCATCTGGGGAGAGGCGACAGATGTTGGGCTGCTGGTTCTGGAAGTTGCCAGCTGTGATGCACTCCTCTGCACTCAGGTAATACGTGTCCTGAGGGGAGAGCACCAGTGCCAGTCAGCGAAAGGACAGCCTGACGTAGCCCAGACCTATTTCCCTGGGCTGCAGCCAAGGGAAACGACCAACACCCCAGGAAAACACGCTTTCGTGGAAAGCTGCTGCAGAGCCCGGGACAGGAATGTGACCTGTCAGCTCCCCAGCCCTGAGCTGGCTCAGGACTGTCCCACGGAGAGTCCCCACCCACATTTACACACCATTTTTTTTTTTTTTTAAACTGAAGTTTCACTTTCCAAATATGGATATCACTGGGTTTACAACCACAGGAAGCTGAGGAGGTCGAAGTTTGAGCCACGTATGTGTCACAAAGCCCAGCCCATGGGAACATCCTCTGAGTCACTCTGGGTTTGCACCTCACACCCCCACTCCCTCCACTCCACAGAGTTTTATTAATCCTAAAAAGGGCAGGGTTAGATGGGAGGAAATCCTTCCCTGTGAGGGTGGTGAGGCCCTGGCACAGGTTGCCCAGAGAAACTCCCATCCCTGGGAGTGTCCAAGGCCAGGTTGGATGGGGCTTGGAGCAACCTGGGCTAGTGGAAGGTGTCCCTGCCCATGGCAAGGGACTGGCACTGGATGTGCTTTAAAATCCTTTCCAACCCAAACCATTCCATGATTCCATGAGCATCATTTCATTAAAGCAGAGGGGTAAAGGGCTGCAGGCAGCTCTCCCTGCTCTTCAAACAGCTCAATCCCAAACGGTTGGAAGGGTTCAAGCTCCCTTTCCTTCAGAAGCACCTGAAAAAACCCCATTTCACAAGAATTCCAGTGTCACCTGCACCCCTGCCCTGCCCTGGCTCAGCAGCTGGAATTAGCTGGGTCACACCTGGATCTCACCTTGTTCCTGCTGTACCGAACGGTGCCTTTCCGTGTGTCCTCAGAGACCAGGTCAGTGAATATCCAGCCGACCTACAAAGGGTGATGGAGAACGTTGCTTTAAGGAAAAAAAGGACAAAAGAAAAAAAAAAAAGAAACAAGAAGGAAACCAGAAGAGCTTATACATTTTCAGCTCACAGGACACGATGTTCTTGGCTCCCCTCGGCCCTGTGCACGCTGCCTGCAGGGAATGGCTCTCCCAGCTGTGCTGGGCTCTTGGAATCCCATTTCCAGGAGCAGCAGCATGCCAGCTGGCTGGCCAGGGCACCTGCAGTGTTATGTTTCACTATGGAATATTTTTCATGGAAAGATCTGGAGGCTGCAAGAGGCCTCTGTGCCTCCCACCCCCCAGCAGAAAGCAATTCCTACAGAGTGCCCGGAGCAGCTCACGCGGTCCCAGTTTGAACCTCTCACATGATCCCAGTTTGAACCTCACAGGCTCTGGTTAGGAGGAAGCTCATACTGGAGCGTGATTCATTCCAAACTGGAGTCTGTCCCGACCCAAAAAACACATTCCTGCTTTCTGTGGTTGCACACTGGTGTGTGCATGTACACACCAGTAACCCCTGGAGTGGGCATCCCTTCCACACACGTGTGCCATGTGTACACACACCTCGGGACGAACCCTCTCCACCCCTGTGCCAATCCCAGCCCCCACAGCATTAACCCTCCTGAGGCAGAGCTCCCTGCAGAGCCCAGACAGACCAAACCCTGCAGCCAGCACTCAGTGACGTGTTAAATCCCGTGGATTAAAAATATCTGATGGGAGAAGCGGAGGGAAAACATGGTAATAAATAAAACACACAGAAGTCTTGCTCCAGCCTCTGGCGAGGGGTGAGATCTTATCTGGGAGAACAAAGCCCTCCCCACAGATGTTTACAGTCTGCACTGAGCCTTCTCCCAGTCGAGTTTTCTTTAGCAAGTCAAATCTTGTTTGTGTACATCCCATTCCTGGCATTCCCACCATACCAACGGTGCTCCCAAACCGGAAAATATCAGCGCAGGTTTGAGGGATGTCAGGAAATCAGGGGACCCCGAACGGATGACTGGCAGGATGGAACTGAGGGGGACCTGCACCCCTAAACCACACAACTCACTCCCTACAGCACCAAGAGACTCCATGGAGGGCAAGAAAATCCAAGAGGAGCCTCTGCTCCTGGAAAAGGAGCACGGAAGCAACTCCAGCTCCATCTGTGCCAAATTAGCACTTGCCTGGGAGATGCTCCCAGGAGCGGCTCCTGTCTGAGGGGAAAGAAAGGGAAAATGGTGTTTCTGTTGCTTTGCTCCAGTCTCTGATGTCCCTCGTGACTCCAACTGCAGCTGCACTGCCCCGTGAGGGGTTTGTGCTCAGGAAAACCCTCTGGTTTGGGGTTTTATACCTAAAAATGTATATTTTATACCTAAAAAAGTTGCTGACACTTAAGTGAGATTTAGGTAACCCAAAAGGTCTTGGTCTGCTGATTTCTTTCCCTGCCACACACAGACACACAAGATCCAGCACATCCTGACCTTCCTCAGGCCAAGCTTTGCCGCGATCTCATCCACGACCTCGGCTTTCGGATCCTCCAGGATCTCCAGGCTGTTCTGTGTCCCGATCTGCAGCAGAGAGACACTCGTTAGTGAGAGAGAACAGGAAAAAACCCCAGGATAACCACTGTGGGGAGTGAGGCAGAGCATGGGAGCAGAGGCTGGTGTCACCCCAGAGACCTCCCCTTGCAACTCTGCCCTCACACACATTCCCGAGGATCCATTTGTTCCTCTTCCACTGGCAATCTGTTGGATTTCACTCTGGCCATGCTGCAGGAGTCACCAGGATGAAGGAAGCCCAGGAGGAGGGCTCAGACCGTGGGAAGCCAAGCGGTGCCGTGCCCCATCTAGTGGGGACTCCAGCCCAACTCAGCCTCAGCCTCTCCACCGTTCTGCCTTCAAATCATTTGGATTTCATTCTGTCTAATTAAGCTGCTTAAATTTTCCCAGAGAGCTGGGAAGGAATTGCAGCAAGGGCTGCAACTGTTTTTTCCTAGCACAGAATTTCTTGGAAAATTTCCTGGAAATCCAGGAAACAAGGGAAGATGAAAAGTGAAATCCACTTTTACAGTCACCCTGGATTTAAATAATTTGAACACAGAGGAATGTAAAACATATAACATAAATAGATATTAAAAAGAATATATTAATAAAATAGAATATAAAAGTATAATATAAAAATAATATAATATAGGATTATATGAAATAAAAATATAATAATATATTATAAATACATAATAAGAAATAATATAAATAAGATTAATATGAAAAAAAGGCAGGGAACCAACAAAAAGCAAATCTGGGTTTAAAAATCTTTTGGTGGCAGTAGCTGATGATGACATTAAGGACATAAATCCCATCATCTTTTCCTCGGGACAGTTTTCCTTGTGGAGCTGCGGCTGGAAACGAGGAGTGAGGTTCTCCCACACTCAGCAGGTGTTTCTGTGTCCCCCAACCTCGAGGGGACCCCGGGAGCAGCGGGGGCTCACCTGGGGGGGTTCATAGATGGCCGCCACCTCTGCCCGGATGCCCAGCGGGATGTCTTTGTGCTCCGTGTACCGGCCGTACAGATATCCCAGATGCTGGTTCCCTGTCTTCCTCCAGAAGTCTAGGAAGCGATCTGCAATTGTGTGGTTCTCAAACATGATGTTGTCAACATGCCTGTATTTCTGTTTGACAAAGTTCAAGCGTCAGGCCGTCCTCCGCTGGCTCCGGTGCCTTCCCAGGGCTCACTCACACCACCCCTCTGGAGCGGGATCCTGCCACAGCAGGCGTGGGGGAAGCTGGGGGCTCCCTCCCTCTCCCCTCTGCTCAGCTCCCTCCCCTCAGCACTGCTCCCTGCCCAGCAGGTCCCACCACGGGCTGGAGTGTGGGATGTGCTGAGCATCCCCGGCACCTCGGGGTCTCTACTGGGACCTTCACCCCAAGAGCCTTTGCAGGTAAAATGACACTGAAATTCAAGAGGAAACAAGAAGCTGAGTGGCCTTTGGGATCCCCTGAGGAAAAACAGCAGGTTTCATCACTAGTGCTGCCAGCTCAGTCCTCCACACTGGGAAGAAACTGTTGACCCAGGACATTTTGGAACCCTTTATTGCAAGGCCTGAAGAAGCTGGGCAGGATTTCCCTGACACCTAGAGGCTTCGTGCTCCAGGCTGGCTGTTCTGGAAGTCACCTCTCCCAAAAGGGAAGCCAAGGCCCCTGTGAGGTGCCATGAGCTCAGTCTCACCTGTCTGTTGAGGGTGATGGCGCTGGGCTGGCACTTGGTGCAGATCCCCTCTGGCCAGGGAGGGTGTCCCTCACACCCCGACTTGATCTTACAGCTGATGTTCTCCAGGGCTACAAACTTCCCCCTGGGAGAGGGGGGAAGAGAAAAGGGGGGAAAAGAAGGGAAATGGGGGAAGAGAAGGGAAATGGGGGAAGAGAAGGCTGCTGTTACCACAGCAAATGCTTTTGGAGCAGTAATTTATGGAGCACGTGGGAAGTAACAGGTTGTAGCACTCGGGCAAATCAGAGCTCCTTTCATGTTCATGAGGTTTCCTGGAAAGGGAAGTTCCCTTCAAATGGAAGTATCATGGACTTGGGCTGCATCTCCCAGAGAGATTTAAAAAATCCCAGTGGTATTTAGGAACAGCATGGAGATACACCTCTGTGTAACTTATGTCCGTGGAATTTGAGAACCAGGCTTGGAGCTTGGTGTAACTAGGGAACCTCCTTCCTTCCATCTGGCCTTCTCCCCCCATCAGGAGTGTTTCCTGGAAGTAATTACATTGCCACAGAAAAAAAAAAGGAAAACCAGAAAGAATAAAACCCCTAAAATAAAAAGCCAGATTATTTTTTCCCCCGCCTTTTCCTTTTTTCTTTTATTTTTCAACACGTTTCCTCCTCAGTTTGCCATTCAATCCTCGTATCCCACCCTTAGATCTGTCTGTACTCTCATTCGTGTTTAAAACAAAAAAAAAAGAAGCTACAACCAGATTCCCTTAAACCCAGAGCTTTTCTTACTTGTCTGCCCCTCCGGTCAGCTTCCTGATGTAGGCATGGAATGACATGTGCTTCACAGGAGGCTCCAGATGGTTCAAATAATCCTCATCGAACGGCTGCCAAAAACACCACACAGAGCAAAGGCAGGTCAGGCACCTGTCTGATAACACCCTGATCACTGAGCAAATGGATGTTCCAGAGCCAACCCCACCAATGTGGAAGCAATCAAGGAAATTCAGGCTCATTTTCAAGGCAGCTACTACTGGGATACAAACAGTGCAGCTTCACAACGGCGAGTTTTATGGTCGCCTCCTGCTCTGGTAACAGATTGGCTCCACAAATCAGAACGAGCCTCAAAGGCAAAAAGCCTTTTCCTTTCGATATCTAACAACAAACAAGGACACAGCTGCTCCAACACGGCCAAGGGCTTCCAGAGCACTTCCAGCAGTGGGGAACAGCCATCCTGGAATGGCCAGGATCCCCTTTGGAGGGGTGGCTGCTGCTTCGTGCCATAAATTACACAGCCCAGCACGTTTGGAGGCTAAAGCTGCTTCAAGCTGAATAATCATGAAATCATGGAATGGTTTGGGTTGGAAGGGACCTTAAAGATCATCCAGCCCCACGCCCTGCCATGGGCAGGGACACCTTCCACTAGCCCAGGTTGCTCCAAGCCCCGTCCAACCTGGCCTAGGATACTTCCAGGGACGGGGCAGCCACAGGTTCTCTGGGCAACCTGTGCCAGGTGGTTCAACTGGGAAGTGCTGGGAGACATGAGAGAAGGGATAAAACAAGAAGATACAGGAAAAAATGAAGAGGGAGGAAAAATGGAGCACTTTTTAAAGCACTTTCTGTTAAACTCATCATTGCAGAAAACCATCATTAACCATGATAAACCCGGGGCCACAAAGGCCTGGAGCTTTAGTGATCCCAGAGCCAGCAGTGCACAGCAGGATTCCAGCCTGGAAAAGTGTTCCCCTCCTAGGAAAAATGTTCATACTGGGAGAAACTGGTGTGAGTTTGTAGCACCCTCCTGGGGCTCTTACCTCGAGTGGGACACAGTGAACACATTTACCCAGGGGGCCGTGACGACACCTGGGCAGAGAGAGAGAAAAATGGGGTTAAATCTCATTTATTATGGGAACTGAAGGAGGAATAAATCTTATTTAATATGGGAACTGAAGTGGGGTTAAATCTTCTTTGATAACAGAAAAATCAGACTGTAGGAGTTGCTCTCGAGTAATTTTGGTGTGGAAGAGCTACATGAGCTCTGAGCAATTCTCCAGCCCCCAGGGAATGCTACAGAGGGGTCATGGAATGATGAAATGGTTTGGGTTTGAAGAGGTATCAAAGATCATCCAGTTCCACTTCCTGCACTTTCCACTAGCCCAGGTTGCTCCAAGCCCTGTCCAACCTGGCCTTGGACACTTCCAGGGATCCAGGGCAGCCACAGCTTCTCTGGGCAACCTGTGCCAGGGCCTCCCCACCCTCACAGGGTGGAATTTTTTCCTAATATCTAACCTAAATTTCCCCTCTTTCAGCTTGAACCCATCCCTCCTTGTCCTGTCACTCCAGTTCCTGATGAATTGGACTTGAATTATCTTGTCCAGGTTGAAGTTAAACCTGAGAGTCTCAGGTCAAGATCAAACCCTCCTTATGTCCCTGGGAAGAGGCTCTGCTGTCCCAAAAATCACCTGAATCCATGTCAGGTCAGGTTTCACAACCCTTCAAGTTCAAAGAATTCAGACCCTTCAAATTCAAAGAATCTCCAGGCCAAGTGGCAGGGCAGGTTTTAACAAAAAGCCACCCAAAACATTCATCCTTTATCAGGCACTGGAGGATGGGCTGGAACAACCAAGTGTGTGTTTTTTGGGCAGATAAACCCCGCAGGGTAGAGTTAGAGGAGAAAACCTCTCCTTCTATGGTGATTGCTTTAAAGAAACCCTAAACCAACAATAAAATCCCCTCCAGCACTAAGTCAGTGCTGCTTTCCAAAGGAAGGGCTCTGGAGATTGGTGTGTGGAGACAATGGATGGGATCCAGTTGCAGGATTGATTTTAAGGAGATTCTGTGGCAGATAATGTACAGAAAGGAGCCCTAAATGCTGCTAATGCACTCAGCATCCTTCACTTGAGATTGATCCACCCTCCCAAACCCAGGAACAAGCCCAGACACCTCCTTTTATCCTAAATACTCACCCCTGGGCTTTGGCTCCCTGCTAGGAACAACTTCATTGATTCCTTGAAAAGTGTGGGCAAGTTCAAGACAATGTTTTCACCACAGAGTGGTGGGTTTTGCCTTTATTGCTTCAATAATGTGACATCTCATCACTTATGGTCAGCCTAGGAAGGTCAGAGAGGATTTTCCACACATTTCCCTGCTGCTGCAACACTGAGTATAAACCATATGGGGGACAACACCACAGGGAAGGGCAGATGATTCTGTTTCAGCAACAATTCCTGGTTGCCTTTAAAATTTTCCCTCAAACCCTTTCAGGAGTCTCTTTCCAGAGGGTTCCAGTCCCAAGGCCACAAGTGGGACCCAACTGGGATGTTAATGCTGAGCAATAAAACCTCATCACCCATCCAGGGGGTGTTTTAGCATCACCAGTGTAGATTTTGGGTGGGTTTAACCCATTGTTGTATTATTTTTACACAGGTAGAAGCTGCTTTGTTTCCCAAGGGCTCTTGCACGGAGGAGCTTTGAAAAGTGGGACTTTGGTGCATTTTTGTGAGCAAAAGGGACTCCCTGGTTTCACAAAGGTCAGAAGGGCACGTGATGGAAAGGAAGTAAAAAACTAAGCAGGGAAAGACCCAAGTCTCAATTCCACATCTCTGTCATGGGACACTTCCACTCATTCCCCTTGCTTCTGTGTTCCCCTTTATGAGAAGTGGCTGGATCTGAGGGCTCAGAGTACTCCTGCTTGGGACATTCCCTGGCTGCTGGGCTCAGACACGACATTCCAAACTCTGGATACAGCAGGAACACACACAACACCCCCCCACTCACAGCTGCTGGTCTCGGTTCCGGTAAATCTTCCCATCCTGCTTGATCAGGTACTGGTCGATCTCATCCTCCACCACCTGGGGGGCAGCCCCAGGCCGGGAATTTTGGGAGACAGAGGTGTCCATGGTCTCTGAGGAGGAGCCAGCTGGGCTCAGGGGGTAAAGGAACAGCATATCCCCGTGCCTGCAGGGGTGGGAGACAGCACACAGGTAGTGGGAGAGGTGAGAAACAGCACTCAGGAAGCTGGAGCTGCTTCCCAACAGGCAGCCAACCTCCTGGAACATGGAAGAGCATGGAATGTGTCCCAAAGTATAATCAGACTAGCTCAGGTGGCAGTTGGAAGCTGCTCCATCAGCCACCTCTTCCTGCTGCTCTGGCCATTTGCCACAATAAACGCAAAACCCTTCCATCAAGAGACACAACCGAGGAGAAAAGATGGAGAAAAAGGCAAAGGGAACCTATGGAGAGAGGCAACAGCTCCAGGAGGGAAAAGGAGTAGTGTGGATCCTGTGTGGATCAAGTCACAGCCTTCCCAGCTGGCACATTCCAGGGACACGCTGCACATGGGATGTGATTTTTCCCACTGCTGCCCATTTTGGAACCTCCAAGCAGAGCCCCCCATGCTGGAAAAAAACCTTCCCATGGGGACTCACTTGATTTTGAGCAGGTTGAGGGATTTGTTCTGGGCTGCTGTGATCTCCCCTGTCCTGTTCCTGTTGGTGTACACGGAAAAGCCATTATTCCTGAAGCCAAATTCCTTGGCGACCTGAAAGACAGGGGAGAAGGACAAGGTGTGAGGTGCCTGAGGGCTGGAAGGGGCTCAGAGCCAGAGCTGATCCCAGGGAACTCCTACTGCAGGAATTCAGCACAGTTCTGAGCTCAGGGTAATAGGGAGACATGGAAGAAACAGCTGGAAACAAAAGCAATGGATTAAAACAGGAATTTAAACACCCAGAATGTGTCTCTCCCTCACACAACACAAATGCAGAGTTTGATCTAAATCCAGGCAAGCACTGCAGGACTGCAGGGAGAAACTTCTCCACTATCCCAGTTCTCCCTGTTTTCTCGCTCCAGCCACATCAACAAGTCATTCCCATCCTCCTGGGACCAGAATTCCTCACCCACACCTTCACCTCTGTGGGTCTTTTGCCCTCAGCTGCACTCCCACCAACCAGCTGCTTCACTCAACCTCTTCCCACTGTCCTGCCTGTTTATCCCCACTTTCCTCCTCTCTCCCGTGGAATTCACCCCCACAACAGCCACCTCTCAGCCCCCACGCTGGTTTTCCCTGCTCAGTTTAAGGCTGATTGACTCGGGATCAGTCCAACACCTCTTCCCAGCAACAATAATTTACACATTTGGCCACTTGAAAACATCAGTTCAAAAATGGTGTTCAGAGTTCCTCTACTTGACAAGTTTTGCCTCAAATTCTGAAGTCAATGGCCTTTATTCTTAATAATAAAAATAATCCCTGTGGCTTTGGGAACAGGGAATGCCCCCAGGACAAATGTGATGAGACACAAAGAACTGTCACATGAGCAAAGCCATGAAAAGTAGGTTTTTTTCCTGTCAGCTCCACTGTGATTTGCAGCAGTGAGTGATCCCTGTGAATGGGACCCTTTCACAGGGATCAGCTCCTGCTCCTCAGGCCACAGAATTCCATTTTTGGGGCAGACAAATCCCACAACACATTAACAACAGGTTTGAGTTGATTCCTGACTCAATTCTACCCTGAGCACAGCCAGAGTCACTTTTTAGGGCTTTTCCCTGGATGTGGTACAAGAGACAGGGAGGATTATCCCATCCCTTATTCCTTGCACACTTCTGGAGCTTCTCTGGAGCAGGTCCAAGTTAATTCCCTGTAGGGAAGCAGCAATCTGATGCCTCTCTAATTCCAGCTGTCCCCCTAAACACCAACCCCACTCCCTGGGTGAACATTCCAGGGTTAAAATCCACAGCACAGGTAGGAAAGACCTGGATTAAGATAAAACACAGATCTCAGGTGGCAAAATTTGCCCCTTTTCTCTTCCAAGCAAACCCTGGAAATAAACCCACACAGGTCTTGTGTTTGGCTCAGTAAGAGGACAAAACCTTCCCCAGACCAACAGGCCATTCCAGGTGCTTCTGTCCTGGCAGGAAGTGTTTTCCAGCCATTGTTCCACACTGCCTCGGGTAACCTGAGCCCTGGAAAGCAGCAGCTTGTTCTGCACAGGCTCCAGAGATCCTGAGAGCTTTTTTTACCTCGGGTGAGGCTGCTCAGAGGCTCCAGTGGGTGTCCCTGAGCCAGCCCTGGAATCCAGTAGGATTTTTCCTGGCCAGGTGGGAATGCTGTCAGGGAATGCTGTTGGGTCTGGGCTTCAAACAAAGCAAATGACTCACAGAGAGCAGGTTTTGGGCTGCTCCCATTCCCTTCCCTCTCACAAGGAGAACAAAGAAAGCCCAGTCTGAGGGCTCCAGGCTGCAGCAGGAGTTACCCCAACAGAAGTGTGGGTTTCCCCCTGGAATGCTGTCCCGTGCTGCTGGCAGTGAGGTCAAACACAGGTATCCCATGGGACAAGCAGTGGGAGCCCTGCCCCACCCCGTGGGGAGGCACAGGGGGTCCTGGGGTACCTTTTTGAGGAACGTTGCCACCGTCTCTCTCTTGGTGGCCGTGATTCTCTTCACTCCCTCTGGCGACTGCACACGGATGATCTGGGAGG